ATATAGAGATAAGTATCTATCTATATACTCTCTCTCTATATATATATACACACACACACACATATATATATATATACACATATATATGTAGATGGATAAATAGATGATATATAGATAGCTATAGATGGTAATAGATAGATGAGAGTGTGTGTGTGTGTGTGTGTGTGTGTGTGTGTGTGTGTGTGTGTGTCTTGTGGTCTAGTGGCAAGAAGCAGGGCTGCAATCTCAAAGGCATGCCGTTTAAATCCCCAGATGCTCAGTGGGAGAAGGATGGCCAATCTGCTCCTGGACAAGTAATGTTTCTGAGTACCCACCAGACGGTCAGCTATGGGTTGGTTCTGACACAATAACAAAAACATAAATAGATGATAGATAGATAGATAGATAGATAGATAGATAGATAGATAGATAGATAGATAGATATAGATAACCTGATGTCACAATGGCTGAGTTTTTAACAGTTAACTTAAACATTGAGCATTTGAACCCACCTCGTCACTGTGTAGTAGAAAAGATCAGATAAATTGTGCTCCTATAAAGGTTTCAGTCTAGAAAACAGTTTGTGACTTCAACAGATAGGGTCATTAAGAGGCCAAATGTATAAGAGAACACTCAACTATGTTTACATATGTTTACAAATAAACTGTACAGTGACAAGTACATATAACATGCTATGTAAGATACAGATAGAGAAAGAGATAGAACAGAGAAAGGAGAGCGCGAGAGTACACACGCACTTAGTAAATGGAAACGTCAACCATTCATTTAGTAAATGGAAACGTCAACCATTCATTTCCTCTGCTTAGAAAAAATTTAAGCAATTAAATATTTTAAAGATTTTAAACAGTTCCAATTTCATTTTTTAAAGTAGCTTGTTTAAACAATTGTTAATTTCTTACTAGTTTGAAAAAGGCTGTGTTTGGAAAATTTCCAAGAATGCACTTGAACTTTGAGTTCCATGACACTGTGGAAGCCCGTGATGCTGTTAATCAGCATTGAAGTTCACTATTGCCTGTGTGAATGACTCATTAAACCCATCAAACATGGATTTTAGTGTTGCCCTAAGAACATTGTGGTTTCTTATGACCACATAGAAGATGGTTTGACATTGTGTGCCAATATTAACAAGCTAATTAGACCACCTCATAGATTTAAAATTTTTTTCCTTAAGGTTGACTATGTTTAAGACTGATTTTCTCTCAGTACCAACAGAAACATCACCAAAATAGATCTTTCACAATTCTGATTCCATTTCCCTCTTCCCCAGAGACTACAAATATTGTTTTCCTTTGCATTCTTCTAAGCACAATATATTTATACAAAAATATGCATTGAGATATATATTTTCCTGATTTTAACAGAAATATTATTATTCCAGGTATATGTTAGGTTGTCTTTTTAGGTTTTACTTTACAATGTATTTTAAATACCATTACATGTACGTCTATTCTGATAGAGAGTTGTCCTACTAACTTCATAGTCTGCATATCCCTGGCAGTGCAAATCCATCAGCAGTTTTGTAGAGGGAAGATTGACAGCCTCTTCCATTATTATTTACACCCTTGGAAACGTGGTAGACAGTGGCTATAGGTCAGAACCAACTCTACAGCAGTAAATTTTAATTTGAGTTCATAAAAACTTCAATTATTGCATAAAAGGGCTGAGACTAGTTTCTTCAGTGACCTTTTGATAGACATTCAATTTAGTTCTCATTTTTGTTACCATAGAAAGGGCCACAATAACTGTCATTGTGCATATGAATAAATGTCTCTATAAGAAATTGTATCAGTGACTGGCACAATTCTAATAATAATGTTTAGAAATGCCCCGTACAAGAACTTAAAAACCTACCAAAAATATTGATAGTTTACCAAACTTTTGCCTACACCAAATATTAATAAGTATTCATCCCCTCAACAAATCACTAATACTACTCTGATAGGTAAAAAATATATCTAGCTGGAATTTTAATTTCACTGTCATTTTAATTTCATATCTTTTTGTGTGTTTAATTCCTCAGATAAGGTTCCTTAATATTGACTCTTTTTGTTTATTATTTGTGAAGACCATTTCTTAAGATGAATTGTTAAGATATATTTGAAAAATATGCCTGCCAAATGTATTCTATTTTATCACTTTATGTTATTATACAAAAATGTGTATATTTTTTTATCACAATGACACTTATTTTATTTCTGAATATATGACTACTTGAGGGAGCTCTGGAAGCCTGGTGGTAAGAAGCTGCACTGCAGTTACAAAGGCACTTGGTTCAAAGCCAGCAGCCACTTCATGGGAGAAAGATGGGCAATCTCCTCCCCTGTGATTAACTGCCTTTCAGAAAACCCACAGGAGCTTCAGTTATGGATCGGTTTCCACTCTGTGGTACACAACAACAACATTACTACATGGAGAAATGAATGTAATATTATACATAAAATTATACAATGAGTTTCTGACATATTTTTAGGTGCTGACAAGTTGTTTCTGACTTGTAGCAACCTATAACAAACCTATAATAAAACAAATGAAAATACTGCTGTTATTACAATCATTGCTACTTTTGAGTCCTTCGCTGTAGTAATCCATATTACTGAGAGATTTCCCTTTTTTTTTGCCCTCTACTTTGTGAAGCATGAAGTTTTTCTGTTTAAACTGGTCCATCCTAATAAGTTCAAAGTAAGTGATATGAAATCTCGTCATCTTCAGCCTAAGGACCATTTGGGCTGCGTTTCTTCCAAGACAGATTTGTTAATTCTTTAGTAATACATGACACATTCAAGAATTTTCACCAACATCAAAATTCATATATATCTTTTCTTTTCAATGTGTTTTATTCCTTGCCTGGCTATTACATATATTAGGTGATTGCAAATATGCCACGGCTCGATGGAGACATATCCTTAAGCATATATCATTGTTGTTAGGTGCTGTAGGCCCAGCTCTGACCCATAGTGAACTTATGTATACTGGGTTGAAACCTGGCCTTATCCTGTGTCATCCTTATACTTTCTATGGTGCTTAAATCCATCGTAGGAATGTTAAAAAGGGGGGGGGGGTAAAGCCATTGTCATTGAGTCAGAACTGACATTCCAGCAGGTTTCTGGGGCTAAAAGAAAATCACCTAGCAAAGTTCATCTTTCGCCTGCAGAGTGACTAGTGGGTTTGAATAGCCAGAGATGAACAGGACTTTGGGGTTAGTAGGGTACCTTCCTCTTAACTACTCCTTCAGAGATTCCTCTTAGATGCTTAGTTATCATAAATAAATATTGTTGTTATTGTTGAGTACTGTGGAGTAAGTATCACCACATAGCTGACCCTTCAGCAAGTTTTCAGAAGCAGTAAATCACACAGGAGGAGATTGCCCATCTTTCTCCCGAGGAGCAGCTGGTGGATTCGAACTGCATGCCTTCGTGATTGCAGCACAGCTTCTTGCCACTAGGCCGCCAGGGCTCCTTAAGAAATAAAAATTGAGGGGAGCTCTGGTGGCCTAGTGGCAAGAAGCTGCACTGCAACCCCAGAGATACAAGATTCAAATTCACCAGATGCTCTGCTAGAGAAGGAGGGACAATCTCCTCCTGCACCAGTCAGATCCAATTTGATGGTACACACACAAAACAATAATAAAATAATTTAAAAATTTTTTTAAAAAGAAATAAAAATTGCTATTTATATTTATTTACTTCAATAAAAAAGAAACAAATATTTACTTATTAGTTGCCTTTTTATTTATACTTGTTTTTACATGGAATCAGGATAAAATACACTCAAGAACATGTAGAATAAGAATTACATCAAAAGCTTCTGCCTTGGCTAAGAGTTCCCATAAGTTATTTTGAGAGCTATAGTGTGTAAGCTATAAACTTAAAATTTAAAAGGATATTCTTCTATATCATTTAAATTATCTTTCTCCTTTTTCTTAATCTAGACCCATTTTTCCATTTATTAAGAAACTTTATTAAAAGACCTAGAGACAAAATGAATAAGGAAAAGAAAGCAATATTTGACATGATAATATGTCAAACTAGACTACAAGATCCCAGAAGCACTGTGTAAGCATTTTGAAGTAAGTTACTTAAATATTTTCTCTAATTTTGCAATCAATATCTCTCATAGTGAGAGGTGCCTGTTAAAAAAATTGAAGAACTCTATTAAGCATACTAATTCTCTAATAGTAATGATTTGATGTATGAAGAGCCTATTACCATTTCATTATTTTCCTGTTCCAATATCCTATAGCAAAGTAATTAAAGAGATACTAGAAATTCCACTTTACTTATTTAAAAATCAATATACTTAGAGCTAAGTAGCAATGGGCGCTTGAGCATGTCTCAGATTGTGAGGATGACATAGGATGGGGCGAGGGTTAGGTCTGATGTTCATAGAATTTCTGGGAGTCATAGAGCTCTGTTGGCCTAGTGGATAGAAAGTGATGCTACCAAGAAAAAGGTGGGTGATTTTAATCTGTGGCCTTCAGGCATGGTTTTAATTGTTTTTGTTTTTTTGTGTTTTTTTTTTCATTTGTGGGTTTTTGGGTTGTTTTTTTTTTTCAGTCACACATTCTTCTAAGTGGTATAACACTGGTCTGTCCATTTGGTGTACAGAGGTAACTCATGGTTGCTGTGATGCTAAACACTGTGACACTGATGTGTCAAATGTGATAATGGTTACCCATGGTGGACAATGTTTGGTGGAGCTGCCCGATTTAAACAAGCTTGGAACCAGGAGTGGCATCCACTTCCAAAATAGCTTGCCTCTGGAAACTCTGTGAACTTGGAGAAATGATGAAAGCTATACAAATGTTCAGGTCTTTGGTTCCTAGGGTTGTTATGAGTCATCTACAACTTGAATGCACTTAACAATAACAAGTGAAAATAGACAGTCTAACATTAAATGTCAGGATTTGGGATCTAAATATAATATTCACTTTTTAAAACCATTTCTTTTCTCTTTGCAGATTAACTATTTCCCATCTGGAATATATCTCTGTGGGGGGAAAAATGTGGCAAAACAGCAGTGTAACTGAGTTTATACTATTAGGACTGACCCAGGACCCATCGAAGCAGAACATGGTGTTCATAATCTTCTTCATTTTCTACACTGGAACTGTAGTAGGGAATTTCCTCATTATTGTGACCATCAAGTTCAGCCGGTCACTTGGGAGCCCCATGTACTTCTTCCTGTTTTATTTGTCTGTGGCTGATACCTGCTTTTCAACTTCCATAGCCCCTAGATTACTTGTGGATGCTCTTTCTACCGAAAAAGTCATCTCCTACAATGGCTGCATGACACAGGTCTTCGCACTGCATATATTTGGCTGCATGGAGATCTTTGTTCTCATCCTCATGGCTGCTGATCGCTACGTGGCCATCTGCAAACCCCTGCATTACCCGACCATCATGAGACGACAAGTCTGCATCATCTTGATTATTTTTGCCTGGATAGGTTCCTTCATACATTCTATCGCCCAGATTGCTCTTGCCTTGAAACTACCCTTCTGTGGACCCAATTTAATTGATCATTATTGCTGTGATTTGCAGCCCTTGTTAAAACTTGCTTGCATGGACACTTACAAGATTAACCTGTTGTTGGTGTCTAATAGTGGGGCCATTTGCACAAGCAGCTTTGTGCTTCTGATGATCTCATATTTTGTCATCTTGCATTCCCTGCGAAAGCACAGTGCAGAAGGAAGGAAAAAAGCCCTGTCCACTTGTACCTCGCACATCATTGTGGTCATCCTATTCTTTGGTCCGTGTATATTCATATATACACGTCCGCCAACGACTTTCCCCATCGACAAGATGGTAGCAGTATTTTATACCATTGGGACACCCTTTCTCAACCCGCTCATCTATACACTAAGGAATGCAGAGGTGAAAAATGCTATGAAAAAGCTGTGGATTATCAAAATCACCTCAAAAAACAAGTGATGAAAGTAGGTATGATGACATATTCAGTAAGGAATTTAAACTATGCAGACATCAAGTAGGATTGTGGATTGTTATCGTATAACCTACAAGCCACATATTAATGTCTGAAGGAATATTTTTCCCCTTATCCACAGGCATGAAAAATACCTTTTGTTGTTGTTGCTATTAAGTCTAGACACAGTATGGAGTAATTCAGATAATTATTGATCCAGACGACATCAGGATGACACATTACTTTTCAAAGACTGTAGTTTTGAAGTTGCTGACCATTAATTGTATATAAGTATATATATACACACATGTATATATACACATATGTATGTGAATATTCTTACTTATATAACAATAATAACTTTGAATCTGTATTCCTTGTTTAGTGTGGTCAGTCTCCTCCCGTGAAATTGACTGCCTCTCAAAACCCTCCAGAGCGTCAGCTATGGGTCAGTTCTGACCCTCTGGTACACAACAACAACAACAACAACTCTTTGGTTAGAAAGCATATACATTCACTGCCATTCAAAGTTGTGAGCATCCAAATACAACACAAAAACTATCTCTAAGTTACCTCATACTCTCTATAGTCTTTTATTTTCTTTGTTTCTAATTACTGTCCTGCTTCCCTTGAATTCCAAGGCATAACTCTCCTAGGCAAGATAACCCATTATATTATACTGTCGAGATAGATAATCCCCTGCTTTGTCTTTGAATTGTTGTCACTGATAAGTGTCACTGGGTCAAGTCCAACCCATATTGACCCTTTGAACAATGTCTCTGACCCCTATCCTATCCTTACCACCTTTTATAGTCTTGATCCCACAGCTGCAGCTACTTTGTCAATTTGCCTGGTTAAGAGTCTTCTTTTCTTTCACTGAACCACCACCTTTGCAAGAATGATGTCCTTTTCCAAGGAATAACCTTTCCTAACAACTTATGCAAAATATGTGAGATGAAGGTTCACCATCTTCGCCTCTAAGGAGCACTCTGGCTGCACTTCAAATTGCCTGGAATTATTTATATCTAAGTCTTCTTTTATTTATGCCAATGCTCTAAACATTGGTTCTATTTTTTTTACCTTACTTTTATTTTATTATTAAGATGACCAAGGCTTTTTGTGGGAATTTTTAACATTAATATTAAATTGGGTGGTTTAGTATTCCACTATTTCATTATTTGATTGGTATTCAGAAGTACATCAACATGTACGTTGTTATTGTTGTTGATTGCCTTCAAGTGGAGTATGATTCATAGCAATCCTACAAACAAAAGGCCTGAAGCCCCTCTACAATTTTCTACATTTATCAAAGTTCGTAGAGTTTCCTGAGGCAAGTTGTTTAGGAAATGGATGCCACTCCTGCGCCTAAAACATGTACGTAGCCTTCTAAAATTTTCTCTCTCTCATTACTGTGAAGTGAGGACCAGCTCCTAGTTGACCCTCCGGCGCGTTTCCAATGCTACAATTTGCATCAAAAGAGATGACCCATCATTATCTCATAAAGCAAACGGTGAATATGAACCACTATAAAAGTGCAAACTTGGGGTTAGCAGGATAAATCTCTCTGCAGACTATACCCCCAGAGATTCCCGTTTAAAATTTATTTTTTGTTATGTGCAGTAAAGTTGACTACAATTCATATAGACCTTAGAAAGGAATTGGAACCTTGCCCTATCCTGCGCAATCCTCGGGACATCTGATATGCTCAGGTCTATTGTTAGAGCCACTGTGTCAGTCCTCCCTGTTGAGGGTCCCCCTCTCTTTCTATAACCTTCTTCTTTTCCTAGCCTGATATCTTTTTCCAAATACTGGCTCCTCTTAGTAGGAGGAGCCCATGTATATGCCCAAAGTATATGAGATAAAGTTTTGCCATCCACTATCAGGAGCACTCTGGCTGCACATCCCACAAGACTGATCTGTTTGTTCTTTGAACAGCCTACGGGCTATTGAACACTTCCACACCTCCACAGTTCAAGGAATCAATTCCTCTCTGTCATCCTTATTAATTGTCCAAGTTTCACATGCATAGGGAGTAATTTAAAAGACCACAGTTGGCATCAAGAAGACCTTGGTCTTTAAACTAGAATCATAGCTCCTTAGCACTCTGAAGAGGTCTTTGGTAGAGATTTTCCTAAGGCAACATGTCATTTGATTTTTTGACTCCTGCCACCATGGATATTGATTACATTAGGGTGTTGATTGCATTCTTTCTTCTTACCTATTTGATCTGTTTACTGAGCAAATAATTTGAGAAACTCAACTACTTGAAGAATGTGGCATTAGAATCAGAGGACGGCTCATCAACAACCTAAGTAAATGACAAAACCTTGCTTGCAGAAAGTGAAAACGTGAAGCATTTACTACAGAAGATCAAATACTATGAATATGCATTGGCTCTTAACATTAAGAAAACAAAAATCCTAGCTACTGAACTCAAAGTTACAAAGCTATGCATATTGTTAGGACTAAATAAAAGAAAACTGAAAATAGTGAATACTTTTGGAGACTGGAGCCCTATAGAAATGTAAGTTTATTAAAAGTCAACATATAGTTTGAAATTATTTTATTTGAAGTTGGATTAAGTTGGTGAAAGTAATATATGCATTCAGAAAATGCCCATCAAATGTGTCTCTACTTACTAAGGTTAAGAATGCAATAAAGTTGTACTAGAAGGGCTGGGAAGTTCCAGTATTAGAATTATCAAGAGAATTATTGTCTGCCGTGTATAGATCAGTGTAGTAGTAGCACTTTGTGCATGGCAGGAGTTATGTCATAAACTTCCATATTCATCCATTTCAGTGTATAAAAAGTGTAACACATATTACCATTGTCAAGTTCTATTTCATTTTAATACTACTTTTAATTCTTTAGTTAGAAAAAATTTACCAGTACAATGTCTATTCATTGTGCTGTTGTTGTTAAGGACCATTGAGTCACTCATTAGAGATTATTTTTAAAATAAATTTAGTTAAAATAACTCCAACAAATCACCAGTTTTCTGTATTCTCACTTAATTTCATTTCCAGGAACTAATTTTAAGAAGTTTCATGTTTACATAGTACCCCAAAGTTGACATTTAATTCCTTGTTGATTCTGTTGATTACCATTGAGTCAGAACCAACCCATAGATGACCCTCTAGCAAGTTTTCAGAGTTGGATAATGACACCAGAGGAGGCCGGCCATCCTTCTCCCACAGAACAGCTGGCGGATTCAAACTGTGTGCATTCAGAATTGCAGCTCAGGTTCTAACCACTAGGCCACCAGAGCTCCCTTTTACACATTAATAGGACCAGATAATTAAGTAATAGTTCAAATGTCATTGGTTATATTGAATTTGACTTATTTTCATGATCCTGGAAAACAGCCATGATTAATCTCTTCACCCACAACCCAGCCCCCACATAATTATGTATTCTGAAAAACTAGGAAAAAAAGCACTCTTCTATGACCTAAACTAGAGTCAAAGATGTTCTTTGCCCCCTAATGACAAAGACAGACAGACCCTCCATGATTCCATTCCTTCTTTCATAATGATTTGCTGACTAGTTTTTCCTGCTTATCAATTAGAAAAAAACCTTTGCTACTCGGGCCTGTCTTTCATTGTTTTTGTTCAAGCATTCTTCTAGGTCATACAGCCCTGGTGTGTCCACTTGCCATACAGAGGTTACTTGTGGTTGCTTTGAATCTGAACACTGTGACACTGATGTGTCAAATGCAGTAATGGTCATCCATAATGGACAGTGTTTGGTGGAGCTCCCTGATTAAAACAAGCCTGGAAGCAGGAGTGGCATCCACTTCCATAACAGCTTGCCTCCGGAAACCCTACGAACCTGGAGAAAGGATGAAAGTCACACAAGCATTGAGGACTTTCCTTCATAGGGTTGCTATGAGTCACCTGTGACTCAATGGCACTTAACAACAACAACAACTACTACTACTTTTTGCCTAAACATTTCTCATTCCTGTCAGGTTCCTAATCTTTGACACAAGCTCAGCCTGAGCTTCAATGCAGACCCACAGGAAAAGCTCCTAAAAATGAGCTATTGGTAACATAAAACCTTTTGGCTGAGCACGTTTTTAGGACACTGTTTCATCTTTTTCCCTATCTGCATTTTCCTAGCCTTGCATAATGTCACTTCCATGAGATTAAAAACCTCATTTGCCTAATTCTGACAACATTCATTAATCCCATGGTCACAGTATTCTCTCTGTTGCAGTGGTTTCTGGGTTTATTATCATAAAACTTAACATAGTCTTTAATGTGTTGTTATTAGATATTGTTGAGTTATATGTTTGATCCATGGCAAACCAATTGGAGAGCGTGGATGGCCTGTATAGGATGTTCTGGGCTGTACTCTTAATGATAGTAGACTACGAGGCCTTTCTTCCATTAAGTAGCTATGCAAATTCAATCTACCGACTTATTGATTAGCAACATAACTGCTTCACCAGGATCCCTGCAGTTCTCACACTCATTGCCAATGAGTTAATTCCAACTCTAGCGCATCTACGAAACAGAGGAGAGCTAGCCTACAGAGTTTGTTCAAGGCTGAAATCTTTATAGAAAATTTAAAAAGGTGTGTGTCAGGGTTCTATCTTATCTCTAACCTATTCAATCTGTATGCTGAGCAGATTACTTGAGAATCTGGGTTCTATGAAGAAGAATGCAGCATCAGGGGTGGAGAAATGCTCATCAATAACTTTCAGTGTTCAGATGACACATCATTCCTTGCTGAAAGTGAGAAGGACTTGAAAAACTTTCTGCAGAAGATCAAACATTGCAGTCTTCAATATGGAATGCATTTCATTGTCAAGAAAACAAAAATTCTCACCTCTGGATCAATAGATGATGTCATAGCAGATGGAGAAAAGATTCAATCTATCAACTACTGAGTCTTATTTAGATCTACAATCAGTAAACTTAGTGCTAGCAGCCAGGGAATCAGGAGACACTGCACTGGGAAAGTCTGTAGTCAAGAACCTCTTCAAATTACTGGGGAGCAATGA